GCAGGCCAGGTGGGCAACTGAGGACAAAGCAAAGGCAGCAGCATCTATTTATTGGACGATCGCAGGTTCTCTCCTAGTGAGACAGAGTGCACGGCTTCATTCAGGTTATCTGCACATTCCAGCAAGTCTGGGGGGCACAGGGGAGGAACCACAATGAGAGCCACAAATGTATGGGGAAAATGTACTATAAACCGTTGTTTACATTTTTGGTTAAAGAAAGAAAACTTCCTAATTGACATCCCACTCATAAGGAGAAGTGGGAAAGAAAAGAATTTGGTTTAATCTGGTGTCTGTGTATCTTCTCATTTTGTATGTACAGTTCATTGGGCACTGCTGCTGTCCGCCAGCAGAACACCTTAAAGTAAAAACAGGTATCAGGGAGGAAAAGTATTAACAAAAGGAAGCTCAGAAAGTCGGCTTCAGGAGGGCGGGCGGCTCAGTAGAAGCAGACCGTGTGCAGGAAGGCTCGGCCGCTCTTCTCCTCGAATTCCTGTAGCAGCTCGTCGATCTCGTTCTCCATGTCCTCTGTGTGCTGAATCTGGGGGGAGGCACAGGCCGCCTGAGCGGGTGCGGAGGTGGGCGATGGCCCCGGGAGTGGGGGGCGGGGGGGTGCCGCGCACCCAGCCGCCCGTGCCCCGACCCGGTGCTGACCTGTGCTCTGGAGACTTGCTGGCACCCACCCCCGCGGGGGCCTGAGGACAGAGGGTTCGGGCAGTCCCCGGCCTCCGCCTGCTGTAGCCCACCCGGGGAAGGGGCCGGGCTCTGACCGCAGGAGGCCTGCCCACTGACGTCCCAAGTACACCGACTGGGGACCTTCGCCGCCTCCGCTGTCCCCATTCCGTAAAGGCTCGGTCACTTGCCCAAAGCCAGCCCGTGCTCTGCATCGGTGGCGTCACGTGCACGACAGGGTGTTGGGACATCTGTGGCGTCCCCCCCACCCCCGGCTGTCACTATGGTCCCTCCCAGTTGTGACAGCCAGAGCTGTTAGCAGAGAAGGCCAGACGTCCCCTGGTGGAGACCCTTCCTGGAAGAAATAGGTGCTGCTGGCGGACAGCCCAAGGGTGGCCCGGGGCCGGCGCGGGCCGCACAGTGGCCGAGGCCGCTCACCGGCCCAAGCCTCGGCCTGTAAGCAGCGCCTCTCCGACACGAAGAGACCCCCTGTACCTCGCCTCTCGTCGGGTGACCCGAACGGAAAGCGCACGCGCAGCTTCTGGGCCACGCGCTCCCCTTCAGCCCTTTGTCTCGCACGATGGCCATGCTGGGAACAGAGGCTGGCTGTGTGGAACAAGACACCAGGGCCTGGGCCCTCACAGCAAAGCAGTCCGGGCCTGCCTGCCTCTGGCTTCTTGGTTAAGCCACTTGTTTCCCCCATTTCGGCCACTCCTAGCCAGCTGACCTAAACGCAGAGCTTGCGGGCAGAGGACAGGACGAGGCGCATGGGTCTCTGCTTGGCTCAGTCCTTTTGTCACATCTGAGAGGGAAGGTCTTGCTCTGAGCACAGCTGCACAGTGGCCGCAAAAGTCCCTGGGGTTTTCCACTCAAGGGAGGTTTGCCCAGGGCCACTCGGGCAGGCCAAGGACTGACAGGTCCTGAGGGTCAAGAGAGGAGGACCCACCGCGTCCGCAGAGCTCTG